GTCCAGGTAAGGCCTCAGTATGCGGTGCATCTCTGTTTGGAAGGTGCCTGGCGCATTGCAAAGACCGAATGGCATAACCAGGTACTCGTAAGTCCCATACCTGGTTTTGAAGGTTGTCTTGTGGACATCGCCTTCAGCCATCTCAATCTGGTGGTAGCCAGATTTGAGGTCGATCTTGCTGAAAATAGTACAGCCCTGCACCATATCCAACAGGTCATCAATACGAGGAAGAGGCTTTATAGACTTCCTCGTGATCTTGTTGAGACCACGATAGTCCACGCACATCTTGAATTCACCATTCCCCTTTGGAACAAAGAGGACTGGTGCTCCAAACTCATATGTGTTGGGCCTGATCCAGCCCTTGCTGGTCAGGGTCTCTAACTGTTTCCTGAGCTCTTCAAGTTCAGCAGCAGACATCCTGTAGACCCGGCCCTTGGGAGGGACCGAGCCAGGCAGGATCTCAATCTTATGTTTGGTTTGCCTATGGACAAGTCCAGTAGGCTCCTCCATAAGATCTGAGAAGCGGTCTACCACCTGCTGAATTTGAGAGGGACAGGGAGCAGTCTCCACGTCAGTGTGTTTGACATAAGCCACAAACAGACGAGCGTGGTCAGTTTGGCGTGAGAATCGCAAAAACTTGCGAGCACTCATACAATAACAGCTGCTGGCCGGATGGTACTCGTCAGCAAGCATGCAAGGGCGATAGACCCCATGCCGGTCAGGCAGCTCAACCCTAGGAATCTGCCAGTCAATCCTAGGATTGGTGGCACCAAGCCACTGCATAGAGAAGACAAGGTCAAAGGGAACGTTAGGGAACACATAGAAGTTCAGGCGATGCCTGACTTCCCCCTGCTTGTCAAAGGACACGGGTAGGCCCTTGACAGCAGTGGTAATCCTGGCTGTGGAAGAGTCCCCGATGCGGACCTCCAATGGTTGTCGCAGCTTCACCAACCTCTGATCCAAGTGCAGTTTGCTGACTGCCTTGGGGGAGATGAAGTTGCGAGTAGCCCCACAATCCAAGAGCCCTTTGATCTTGGCTCCCAAGATGTAGGGTCGAAGCAGGATGAGTTCAGACTTGTGCTTCTTCTTGTCCTGCAAGGACAAGAAAAGATCAGCAATAGTCTGAGCATCGTCCTCCTCCCACGTCTCATCCAGTTCAGAGTCTTCAAAAGTGAAAGACCCTGCCAATGCAACTCTAGAACTAAAAGTACCAGCGAGAGAATGTGAAGATTCACCTCCATCAGAGAGGGAATCAGCACTGGTGGAAGGAGCTGCTGCTTCCACCTCTCTCTGCTCTAGTTTTTTGAACTAGAGCTGCCTGCAGACCTACGAGGCATACTGGGACAGTCCTTAAGGAAGTGGTCCCCCTCGCATCTCAGGCAGACCCCCTTATCCTTCCTCTTCCTCCAAACTCCCTCCTGGATCCTAAGTGCATGCCAGGGGAAGGTGGAAGGATCAAGTGGGTCAGCTGGCCAGCGGACGTCTCGTGGTAGAGGTACTCTCTGGGCCCCAGGGGAAGAGGCACGTCCCTTCCCTTTCCCCTGGCGACTGGTTGATGCTTTATGGGCTGGGGCCTTTCCCTTTGCTAAGCCCATCAAAGCATCAGCCAGGGCAAGAACAGGATCTGCAGCTGATGATGATGCAGTCCCAGGTGGAGGGCTCCCACCCTGGGATGCTGCGTCACTATCAGAACCAGACGCTGCAGCAGCAAACAGGGCGCCCTTCCTCCTCCTTCGCCCTTTGGAGGAGGGCCCCTTCCTTCCTTCAGAAGGTGCTTCCTGAACATGGAGCTTGGACTCCAAGTCCAGGGCTGCTCTGCCAAAGGACCTCCAGTCCTTATGGCCCCGAGAGAAGAGAGCAAGCTGGAATTGCTCAGGCGCTGCCCTCAGGAAATGAATGAGCAGATCCTGCTCACTCATCTCCAACCCTGGAGTTGATGTCAGACTCTCAAAGGTGGAATACAGTTTGGACAAGGAGCCATCAAACTTTTTCTGGCCCAGGCGCAAAATTTTATTTGCAGCCTTTCTTGCCTGCTCCTTGTCTGCAAACCGGTCCTGCAGGGCCTGCAGAAATCCAGCCACCCCCAGCCTCTGCGCCCAATCAACCATCTCCATCCCCTGCTTGTTGGAGGTAGAGGTGCACCATTTCAGTGCAGTCCTCTCCAGCCGTGCCAGGATGGCTGACACCTTCACATCCTCGTCACATTTGAACCCACTCAGGTAGGTTCGCTGCGCAGTTACCCAATCTGCCACATCCACCTTAGGATCTTCTCTTGAGAACATTGGTGGAGGGGTCAGCTTGGGCCGCTGCGGCTCAAATGGGGCTGAGGACTGAGAGGGTGCTGGTGACTTGGGTGTAAGAGGTGGGGATGTAGGTCTGGAGTGTGGGGGCTTTGGGACAGGTGCTGTAGAAGGGCCAGAAGAGAGGGGAACAGTCTGAACAGGAGTAATCTGCAGCTGTTTGGCAATGTTGTTCAGCTGAGCAGAGATGTCATCCAGCTTCTTTGACAAGGCTGAATGACTGGTCTCCAAACCTGAGATTCGGTCATCCCAGTTAGTAAAGTAGGACCGGTGAATCTCATCCTGTAGACGGATGAATTATGCCATGTCCTTACTTGCCTGACTGGTTGTACCGAGGCTCATAATCCTCTGCATATCTCCAATCAACACTTTTCTTCTTGCCTCTTTCTGGGCATTCTCTTCCTTCCTCTTGAGCTCTGCCTTTAGGTTCTCAACTGCCTGGGTCTGCAAGCGGAGTTTCTCCTCTTGGGCYCGCAGTTCAGCCTCTAAAGGRTYAGGCGGTACAGGTGTTAYAGGCTGCACTTTCATCTCAAGCTTGACCTGGGGTGTCTCCCCAGAACTCTCAACTACCTCAGCCTTCCCTGACTCTTCCATTTTGCACCCCACAATACAGACAAACAAATAAACAACAAATAACAATCAAAGAACAGACAGGAGGTAACAGGAGTTGGATGTTCCCTGCAGTACTAATCCAATTGTTGTCACCTGCCTGGAGAGAGAAGATTGGTTAGTCTGAGCAAGTGAGTGCTCAGTCTCAGCAGACCGCTTGAGGGTCAGGGTCAGTTCAGAGTCCACTCAGGCAAAAACCAATTTTACGATTTTTCCATCCCTGCCCTGACACAACAATTGCATGCAACAATTGCAAATCCTGGGTCAACAATTGACAGGATGCAGTCTTGGACTAATTAGTGTTGATTAGTAATCAGACAGAGTGACTAATTAGGGTTAGATAGGTATCTACTGATGACCAAGATGCAGCGATTTACAGGAAGAGCTATTTTTAGACCTACCCTGTTGACATCAACACTGTATGACCCTGGATGCCATACTGAGGGTATGGCGAATTACAGCAAACACTGTAACTGACTCAAAACATCAAATCTGCCTGTGCGATTTCAGACACTGGTAGAATATTGAATTGCGATTTACCAGGGACTGACAGAACTGAATTCTGACGGGCAGAATCAAAGTTATGACTGACCCTAGTCTACCATAGCTTTGGCTATGTCAGCGCAGAATTCAAATTTGCAGTATCACTGACAAACTGGCCCTGAACAATCCAATTCATAGTATAATATGAATCGCAGCACTGTACAGCAGTAGCAGATGAAATTTGGGTCAGAGGGGAGGTCAAACAGGGTTAGTAGAGGTCAAAGAAGATAGGTAGGAGAAGTTGGATATGGCTGTCCCACAGTCTGAATTTCGATTTTCAAGTGTCACCTGACAGACAGACCAATTTTCACTATCCTAAAAATAGCCCCAGAACCGCCACACAGGATAGAGTAAGGAACACACTCACTTCAGGGTCAACTCTGAAGAAGATGCATGAAATCTTGGCTATGGTCGAATAGTCAACCCTATCTCGCCAGTTTCACCTCCTGATAGTATACAGTGTTCCCACGTACATAATTCTTCCAAACTTGGTGATCCAGTAGAATTCCCTGAGGCGCTCCACCCCCAACTGACAGATTCAACGAATTTGGGCTCCCAGGTGCTGATAACTGCTCCAGACAGTACAGCGCCACATCACCCTGTACAGCGCTGATTGGAAATTGGGGATTCTGACCCAATTCCAAAATCGCAACCTCCTGGGATCACTTCCCTGACAATCGCCAGCCTCCAGGTGAATCGCCAGGCTATTATTAGCCTCCCAGAGCCTTCTGGGCCTCTGGATTATCAATCGCCACTCACTCCTGCATAACCCTAGCCAGGAGTGTGTCACCCTCTGCCTGTTGCTTCTCGCCACACACTCACAACCACCACCCTACTTACAACAACCCTGAAGATGATGAATCGTCATGAAGCTCAACTCCAGTATCTCACCAGGTGATGATGGGTGCTCCAACTCATCAATCGCTCCAGAGCCTGGATCCAATTGCTCCGATACCAACTGTTATGATTCTGGTTGTACGTTGCCTGAAGGCCAACACTCCCTCACATAAACTTCTGCACATGCCCATACACACACAGTAGGAAGGGGAGCGGATCGGAGTATCACACCGCACAGGGGGAGATAAACACAGCGGAAGACTTGTCCATGCGATATGA